GTTACCTGCAGCGGGGCGGGCCGCCGAGCGCTCCCTGCTCCTGCCGCCTCTCTCGGCCCGCGGGCCGGCGGGCTGCTCCTCACTCCGCTCTCTTAAGCCGGGGCTGGAGCCAGAGCCGGGTCGATGGCCCGCGGAGGATGGTCGGTGCGGGGAGCCCTCGGTGGGGCTCTTGAGGGCCTGGCTGCTTTGCGACAACCACTCCACAGAGAAAGGGGCTTTGGTCATCCTGCCTTGTTTGGGAGATGCCGGGAAGGAGGGTGTCGGGGACCACGACTCCTCCTTTATACCGCAAGTCCCAGAGGAAAACGTTGTTTGTGTAAATACACATCAAAGGGCCAGATAAGTATCATCTAATTGCCATCAGTCCTCCCCCCCCCAACAAAAGACACCGTTCACACATTGCCACAGCTTGCGGAGGCTCGGCTCCGCCGTGTCTGCCCCTGGAGGAGTTCACTCCGCCGTCAGTGATTTACAGCTCTTGTTACATCCTATCCCGATGCAAATGGCACTTTACAGAGCTGAGCCTCAAACGGCGCTGGGGAATGAAGCCCCGGGGGAGAGCACAGGGACCAGCATCCCCGGGCGCTGGCGGGAGAGGGGACGCTGCTGCTCCCGCTCCCCTCTTCCCCTAGAGTTGAATTTTTCATTCCTTTTCATGCAGAAGATCCACTGTCTAAAGGGATCTTCTCAAGCTTGCTTCTCTCTGGGCTGAGCACTTCTGTTCCCGAGATAGCCTGAGGCAGGCCAGTGGAGAAACTCACTAATTGCTTTCTGCTGGGACTGCAGCATCAGGTTATAAGTACCAGGCATAGGGTGACACAGAAAAATGTAAAGGTCAAGGCTGTTGGGTTGTATGAATCGACTGGCTTCTGGCTACTTATACAAAGTGTGTTTTCTGGACTAAAGAATCAGAAAAAGATAAATACTGCCTTAGAATTAACATTTTGCTGAGATTTCTGCTGAGGTTACAGAATTCATGTCCTAGCTTCCCTCCCCAGATCTCTTGCATCTGTGCAGGTAACACAGGTTTCTCTGCTATCTCACTCACCCTTGTCTTTCCTCTTACTATCTTACGCATGTTCCCATCAGTCTTTGGGGTTTGTGTGTACCAGGAACAGTTGGCTGCTGCAGTAACACCTCTGTAGCATATTGAAAAAAGGTTTCTGGTGCTTTACAGGGAGTTTTCCGCTGCAGATTAACCATTAATTCCCTCACTTTACCGTCCTCACCTCCTGTGCCAGAACAGTGGGGCTACTGCACAACTCCTATCACACCCCTGCATGGTATCAGTCTGCCTCCAGAAATCATGACTGCAGGTCTGATGTGTCTGTCCTTGTTCCTGCTTTCTGCTTTACACTCAATTCTACTACCTGCATACAAACCCTCTACTGTCCATTTACCCTGCTGGATTTCTCACCATTCACTTGCTCCGAGATGACAGTGTCACTATGCTTCCATGTATTTCTTAGACTGTCAGTGAGGCAGAGGCTTGAAGACTGAACCCCTCTTACTTAGTTTTACATCTAACATCAGTCAACACATTCAATTTTAATCTGATAAAGACATGTATTTTTGTCTATATTAATCCAGTAAAAAGTTTTATTCAAATACTCTTCAGCTGTTTTTTCCTAAACCCAACGTTTCAACTTTCTGTGTGCACAAAATACATCCATCCATCCATCATGAAATCCTACCATTTTCTATTAGAAAATTGTTTCATTAAACCACGTTCAAGTTTGATTTGTGAGCCCCTTCCAAGCTCTGTCTCTCCTTGCTTGTTCATTCTCAAAGCATCGTCTGAGTCCTCCTCTGCTCTACCAGTGAGGCCACTGTTCTAATTGTCTCTAATCAACAAAAATACAAACTGTATTGTCACCTTTATTTAAAGGTTGGCAAAACCCAATCTAGAACCACAACAAGGCATGACTCGAGCCCTCCTGGAGCCCTTTGTTTCTGGCCTGTGTAGGTAAGGAATTGCTGTTACAGCCTACAACTGCGGCAATGGCCTGAGCCCGCTAAACAAGGTTCCTAGAGGAAACTAAGTGAGCTGGTGTAAAAAAATGTCTAAACAGATGTTCAAAGCATTAATGCCTCCTGTACATGTGTTATGTATCTAAAGAAGTCCACAAACATCTCTAGCATGAACAAAGCCCTGCAGGACACATATATTTGTTGGGTTTTTTTCCACTGTATGAAAGTGTTTGCTATCTGATTACTTGAAACATCATCCATTTATCCTTCCCAAGAATTTTCTGATTAACAATATAAAGTTTAATTGAGCAAACTCTACAAGATTTGTTTCAAATTTCATCTATTTTATAAAAATATCTCTTCCCCTTTCCCCACCCCACCTCGAATATTCCAAACTCAGGTTCTTAACCATGAAGACTACTCCCACCACAAACCTGAGGAAATATGTAAAAAACCCACAGAATCTCTGAGCATTAGCCAATTCTGGTGGCAACATATTTCACAAAGCAGAAAAAGCAGGCAGGAGATGGAGAGGGGACACACAGGAGTCTGCTCCAAGTTACTAAATGACTTTATTTAACATGTGGCCCGGCAGCAGCCTCTTCAGTCAGAACTGGGAATACCAGTGCCATTGCCTGCCTGTAGAATCCTGCCAAGTCTCCTCTGCAGTCAGGCAAAATGTCATTCTCAAGGACTAAATTCTCATGAACATCAGAAAAAGGAAGTGTAACTTCCGTGCAAGCTTCCTTCTCAATTTAAATCTCTCAGATTACTTTAGTAGCATTCTCCATCACAGATGGGGCAAGATCCCATCCCAAGGAGATAAATACATCCCTCGTGCCCAGAATTATTTCCATTCGTAGTCCCTACATAATATTATAGATACATATAAATAATATACTTGCATGCTACTTGCATGCTTATATAGAACATATATACTATCTATACACAAATATATAAAAAAATGTATAAAATGGTCTGTGATGTTATTTTTTCCAGCTTTATTTTATGTCAGCAAATAAAGGCACTTGGCAAGCTGTTGGACAAAAAGAATACATGACATATGACAATGTTCTAAAAAATAGAAAATCTCAGGTTTTAGCATCCACTGATACATCTGTCACATAGTTTCTTTACAGATTTTAAGACATTTTTACCATCTGAGTGGCAAATTACATCTTTATACACTGCTGGTTTATTAATTGCATAGTATTGAGGCAAATGTCACAGACAAAGATGGTGTCAAATGTTGAGCTCTCAGAGATACAAATTGTGACAGGGTTACACCCAATCTCATTTCCATTATACATAAAATGTATAAGTATCCCGGATAAATGGCAGATGACTTCTGGATGTAATGACTGCTACAATATTTAACACCTGCTAGTTTAATTTATCTAAAATTCTTAAGCTGCCTTCTTCCTGTTTCTATGTATTATTCATTAGGTGTTTGTTTTAAAACCTCCTGCTAAACTATGACTCAGAAATATCATGTTTAATATCAAGTGATATTGCCAATGGGATGAAAACCTGCTCATGCTAAAGCCTTCAGGAATTTGTCAGAGAGTAGAAAAGGAACAGATAGGACCTTTCACTCTGCTGCTACAAGGAGGGAGACACAGATAGCTCAGACATACCAATGTCTGCCACTAGCAGAAGTCTGAAGATCTATTTACTGAATATAATGACAATACTTTAAGCAGATGTTTGTACAATACACTGTTCCCCTCTTTGGTGGGTAAAAAAAAAAAAAAAAAAAAAAAAAAAAAAAAAAAGGACCATCAGCTTTCTGAAGCCCTAAGGAGATTTAAGATCATAATGCCAAATTGCCAGCCCAGGCCATTCTGTGTGAGGTGATGTAGAAGTGAACATTTTAGCATCCAGAGGAATGAAAATGAGCTGAGAGTTGTCACTTAACTGACCCCTATATTTCTTGTGAGCAGCAGCTACACTCAAAGAGGCAAAGGAGTGGCTTTATAGATGTCTGGCTGGGACAGGTAGGATGGGATCAAGAAAATGGTGCTTACATGCAAATCAGCTCTGCAGAAATTTATATATACAACACTGGTCTCAGGCTGAGGAGGTTCTGCAGAACTAGCTAGCCCTGCTTGGATGCTTACTAGGCAGTTGATAAGATATATTTTGGGGTAACAGCCCAACCTTTGAGAATTAATTGCTGTTCCAAATCTTCCAGCCCAAAGGTCAGCTCTGCCCTAGTAAGTCAGCCCAGAGCCCTGCCGAGGGACAGGGTTGTGCTCAGAGATATCCTCTTCTTATTGAAGCTCTGAAGGAACTGAAGAGAGAGAAGCTGAGGGCTGACCAATTCCTTGGGTTCCCCACAGGTACTGGAGAAAACTGCCACCACTTGGCCTTGCTGCAGTGGAGGTACACAAGACCAAAGGAGGGGACTGTCATTTTTTAAGAGCAGATGACCCTTTCTTGTCACAGCAGAGGGTCATGTGAGACTAGAGTAGAGCAAATGTGTGGTCCTTGGGAGTAGCTAGGTAGTGATGCAATTCAAAGAGTAAAAATGGCATTTTATGACACACAGGAGGATGTGTGTTCATCTGTGGACATGTGAATTTCCTTGTACTTCATAGTTCTGCCCAGTGAAGCAAGGGCTGCTGGCAGCTACTATACAGTTTACATGGTCTTTGCCCTGGCATGTTTATCCAACCATTTTAATATCTGAGAAATACTCCTTACGACTTAAAAGCATTACAAATGGCCTCTAACCAATCTCTTCATTATCAATTATTATAATCTTTCCTCTTTGACAGAATAAGAGCTACTTTTCTATGAGGAACGGAAAGACCATATGTGCAGAAATACCAGGAGGGCCTGGAATAAACAGAGTGACAGTGCATAGATGAAAATTAAATGTCTCATCATGCTTGGAATTGATCTAAATCAACACAGAACTCACAATGCCAAGAGCTCCCATGGGTCTTTACCATAAGGCTGTTACCAGCAGCTAAGCAGAATTGGTGAAATGTTCTAAAAAGATATATATTCTGCAGAGAGATGCTGTAAATATTAAGAAAGAAAACACTTACATGTGTTATGTTTTTAAGAGTTCCTTACCCAAATTTAAGCTTATTAAAAAAATAAGTCAAAATCAATATGAATCAGGACCACATTTAAAACATGTACCACTTGTTACAGATGCAAGGTCCACCAGCAGATATTTTTTTTTTAAATTTCTTATTTTTATTAGACAAACAATTATAATTGGAAAACCAGTCAAAGTTTAGGCATGTAAATCCTTCTTCAGCACTCATTGCTGTCATACTGTCATTGACACTCCATGGGCACTGCTCAAACAAAACTGCTCATAAGTCTGTAGCTGGTTTAATT